CCAACACCATAACGCTTGAACAAGTGGTAAAAAAATTTCAAAAATCTGGTAAAAAATAACGTCATAATAAGCGGAACGTTATTTATTAATATAATTACAATATAGACATAAACGTTTTTTTTAACATTTCATTAACGGGTTTTCCTTTTATATTACTAATGTAATAAGTTTTACTATTCCTCGAAGAATGCTGAATCACACCGGAAAGAGTTCTAACACACGCCGGAAACAGTTATTACACCATCCCGAACATCCTTGCGTGCTTTTATGTTACGCATTATAGCTCGGGTTCGATATCTAATGACGTCGGTTGCGAAGCAAACTTAAACAACGGATCTTAGTTCAAAACGCCATGAAAACATCTTTGGACTCGTTGTCTAAAACTTAACGATTTAGACGCTTTTTTATTTTTAAAAATGTTATATAACATCACACAGGTTCTCGGGTGACTATCCCAGGGTACATGTATTTGCCCCTCGGTGACAGGAAAGCCCTGGAATGTTAAGTCAGCATTGGGAGAGGCGATATAATACGCCAGGGACTTCCTGTCACTTTTGTGCAAATATTCTGGTATGTCACCCTCGAAACCATGTGATATAAGTATAATATAACGTTCTGCTTATTATGAGGTTCCAATATAAGTTACTGTATTATTGTTATTCAGCCGATAGGACCCCGTGCCGGAAAATTATTTGAGAGAATGCAGCACATGTTCATTAATTATATTATATGCTGAGATAGATAAGTTTTCTATGAATTGAAATTAAATTAATTGTAAATCCGGATGATTTAGTTTCTAGTACGTGCAAAGTGATGGGCTTTTATAACGGCAACATGTGGTGAAGTTCCTGTTGGAGCTAACTGACCCGACATACAAGTGCGATTTGACATGAAAATGCCAAAAAGGCCATACTACAAAGTCATGAAATAATTTTTTGGATTTTTTTTCTCTTGAAAGAATGTATTGTTTGAAACTTTTGTGCGGAATTTTTCCCTCAGTCTTTTTTTTTTCTTCATTAAAGTTGTATAATTCCCCGAGTCATTACACACCTTTAGAATATGCATTAAAAAGAACAATGACTTTTGACATTTTTTTTTTTTTTATGTTGGTAAAAGTATATCAAGATGTAATGAATATAGAATATTACACTGCTGTTTTCATCTCGGCCCTGGTATACCCTCTAATGTGTCTCGGCCCGCACAATGCGGGCTGATACCAGAGCTGAGATGAAAACAGTGATGTGATTTTGTTTACATCATATATCTTAAACAAAAGGCAATGAAACAACAAATATTAAGATATTTTCAACAAAACATATTATAAAAATTTGTTGCAAGAAATAGAATTAGAGTTATCTTTATTTTTTTATGTTCATAAAGTAGGCAAAGATGTTACTTGACGAAGGTGTTTAATCGTGTAGAGAAATGATTTGTCCGATTTGTTTATCAAAGTCTAGTTCTAGTGTTTGGAAACATATTACATGTACATTCCGAAGCACATTAGATTAAAAAGATTTGAAAGAGTGAAAGTTTAGATAGCTCTACTTTCACTTTGGATCGAACCGATTTACAACTTGTTTAATGAATTGTTACAGGTCTGAAATTTATAGTAACTGTTTGTTTTGCTTACGATTTATATTAAACTAAAAAATATACAATTAAAAGAAAACTTGGTATTACCATACTGTCAAAGCAAACAAACTTCCATTTCTTTTCAAAATATGATGTGTTGACGTTCTCAGTAAAGAATAGTTACCCCTCCCATACGTCACAAGTACCATCATTTAGCGCTATTTTCTCAATATGAAAAAGTTGAAGTTAATGAAAAGTGACCGATCTCAAAAAACTACAAACAATACAAATCTGTGAAAAGGGCATAGGACCCCAGATATTTCAGGTCAGGTACCTAGGAGGAGTACGCAGGGGTAATAAGGAAGCATACAAAATATTCTACCTTGACTTAATCAGTTCTACATTATGACGTCATAGTAGGCGAGATGACGTCAATTTTAGAATACAAGTTTTCGTAATATTCGTATTTAGAGATGTAATTTAACTCTAGAAAATGAATAGAAACGTGTAAACATTAACAAAAATAAAATGTTTTTATTTTGTTATGCTGTATCTGTCATTTTGATTAAAATCTACCACCGATGACGGCATATGTGTACTTCAAGTAACTTGGGAATTGATCATGTCGTGTAAAGAGAATTTGGCTAAGACGGCATGTACAAAGATACGTAAAATGGAGTTTAAAAGCAAATATCCTGAATATTTTGTGAAATTCATATGGAGTTCAGTTACTAAAACAGGTATGCTAATTTATTTTCATTGATTGTATTCTCTTTGAAGACAGTCAGCTATATACGTATCCCGGTCGGCCTTTCCTCTGTCATTTGTGACAAAAATAATGCAGCAGAACAACAATAAGCTGTATATTTCAAAACATAAGATTTGTACAGATGGAAAGTTTGCCTCCTAAAATACTTGGAAAGTGCTGCTAGAATCCCGAGTTAAGCATGGTTTTACGAAAAATCTCGGTTTATATGTATAAAATTCAAAACATCGGGTAAGGTTTCGTGCGAATGTGTGGAATTATTATTTTACTGACGGAACAGTGGGATTCTAGCAGCACTTTTTAGGCAAAATAGATGTTTTCCAACTATATTATTTACTCAAAGAAATTATTACACTTCGGGGTATTGTTGTTCTGTTGGCTTTTTTACTAAGGAAAATTTCGCTATTAATAGAAGTCACGTGATGCCGTGGTGGTGGTGCACGTCTTTGCGTTAGACACTCTTTTATCTTTATGCAATAGATAATAATAGTTTACATTTATCAGCGGTTTTGGTAAATTATCAAACTTAATTTTCTTTAAAAAGTCTAAATTTCCAGAGAATTGACTTATATGCTTCCTTAACATACCTGCGTAAGCATCCCCTGTTCACCGGTCACAACAACCGTGAGCCCAATGTATTGATCAATTAGACAGAACATTCAGTGGTAAAATTTAGTAAAAAAAAAAAAAACAAACAAACAAAAAAAAAAAACAACTAACAATTGGTATGAAACAAGTCAGGCAAAATATGCAAACAATTGGTATGAAACAAGTCAGGCAAAATATGCCATGATAGGTTATATTTGCTAAAGGTCAATATAACGACCATAGAATTAACACAATGATGACTTTAACGCGGTTGTTGAAATCCCTGTAACATCAAGTTTTCTGTAAGTACCCTGCTTCTGTTTAATAATTTATTGTACTCATGATCAGAGCATGCTCAGCAAATAATCTTGGAGACATAAACACCATCAGCAGGTGAGAGTAGAATATTACCAAACAAAAAAGGAAAGCTGACGATGGAAAAGACTAGACCATCTCGTTTTTCATACAATTTTGTTGTCATACAACATTCTACATAAATAAATAATTTTCAAAGATTCGGATCTAACTTAGTATACAAAATATTTTCATTAACAGTCAAATATAATCAAATATAATTATTACTATTCATTCACACAAATCAAACAGAAATAATGGATTTTAAAGGCAGGACAGCCCTTGAAAACGTGCAGCTTCAAATCTAGACCTTTACTCCTCACTCAGGGCCATTGAGCAGGGAGGGTTCTTTATCGTGCCAACGCCTACCGTGACTGGGGACCTCGGTTTTAAGGTTTCATTCGAAGGACCCGCAACTTTTCGAATGCCGAGCGCATGGTGAAGGAACAGTTGCTACCTATTTGTTATCGACTTAGGTCAGTCGAGGCCGTGATTCGAACAAACGACCTTATAAATGGAAAACTCTTAAAGTATCTAGTATACACTGTACTTATTAGTCCCTACCGGTGAAACCGGAGGGGACTATAGATTTCCTCTGAGTCTGACCGTCCGTCTGTCTGTCAGTCTGTCCCACTTGGTTTTCCGCACTTTTTTCCTAAACGCTTGCAGATATTGAGCTGATTTTTGGCATGCGAGTGTATCTTGGTGAGTTACAGACCAAATTTGCATTTTGTTCCGCTTCATTGATTTTTGACGGAATTACGACCTTTTCAATTTTTAAGGGTTTTCCGTGATTTTTTTCTAAACGCTTGCAGATAATGAGCTGATTTCTGGTATGTAACTTAACCTTGATTACTTATAGTTCAAGTTTGCATTTCGTTCCGCTTCAATGATTTTTAACGGAATTATGGCATTTTCAATTTTTAAGAGGAACCAGATTACACTTGCCGGTAGGGGACTAGTATTGCTAATGCAATACTCTCAGAATGCTTGTTAATTATGTGATTATGTGATTATCATCTCTTCTTTGAATTTTGTATTCAGGGCATTGTTATTAACTTAATGATATGTTTTCCTGTATCTAACGCTTTTGACATATTAATGATGTTTTAAAGATATCAAATAATTTAAAATTGAAAAATAAACCTAATTATGTTTTTCGTTAAAAATTGTTTAGTTCAAAAAAATATATCGACATGGTTGGTTGAAATAGCCACATTTTGAATAGTTGCATATATCAGTATCTTAGAAAGTTGAAAAAAGTCAGATGAAAAAATAAACATACCTTAAAATTAAAGCTCCTACTCGGTAAAAACTAAATGTTAGAATGAATTATTGAAAACTGATACGCATCCCGTTTTGTTTACCCGGATTTTGTTTGTTAATGAAATCAACACATGTTACATTGAATAGTATCCATGACGTCTTTTTACGGATATTGCAACGTAATTTTTTCCATGACATGCATATGTTACAAATGTTTTTTTTTTTTTTTTTTTTTTTTTTTTTCCCTATAAAAATCCCTTAATGTATGAACAAATTACTTGTTGTCCAGAGGTAGGAATCTGTAATGTTTAATACTAAAAACTGAAGCCAGCTCTGGGAAGATCATATGTATAGAGAAGATTTTACGCTAATTTTCATGTTTCTGTCACTATATTTTAAAAGGAAACAAAGATCAAATAATGTTTTATAATTTTGTTTTTATTTCTTAGGGGAAAAGCTCTTGGATCAAAAATGGCTTCTCTTAAGGTATATATTTAATTTCATTAAAATACAGATGTATGCCATTTGGCGAAGATTAACAAAATATCAAATAGAGAAATTTTATATGAAGATCAGTTATCTTGAACTAATCAACAGAAAAAAAAACATGTAATATTGTCAAAGAAGAACATATTGACACTGATATTTTAATCTTTTTCTTAATTCTTTACAAGCACATGCTGCTATGTAATAATGCAAAATGCAGTGGAGACGAAAAATTTTATCCTCCGAGAGAATTACATTTTGCGTTATCATATTTTGCGTCAAAATCAAAACACAAAGTGTTATAATACCAGTTTATAACATAATGCGTCGTTATTCCATCTTGCTTCTTCATTACAATTTATTTTGTAATACAACTACCATACAATTTTGCAGATAAATCTCCTTGTCGTCAGCATTGCCGTGCTCTGCGTTTACGTTGTCTATGAAATATCTGCTGAGTCAGCTCACTGTCGTTATCACAGACATACCACTTGGGACTATCGAGTTAAGAATTCCACTCATGTGAAATATTACTACAGGGTCTACTACGGGATCTGCAATTCAACTGGGGTAAGATACTGAAAAGATTTTACAAAAAAACTTTCTTAACAAGAATGTTCAGCAATGTTGGACCGTGCCTTTGACATTGGTTCTGAAGTTAAAATTAACAACCTAGGAACAACTCAAATTATTGGATACTCTGGCAAATAAATACTTCGTATTTCGGAAAACCTTGACATGTTTATGAAAAATAATCATCATATTTTAAAGTGGACTTACCCAATTAGTAACTAAACAGATAAATGATAAAGATTTTGCCTTAATTCTGTATTTGTTTGAACTTGAATTTCTAATTGCACGTTACAATGTTTATTATACAGTTTACTTAAGAAATTATATTTATAAAAATAAAATGATAATAATATAAAATATATATATATATTATAAATAAAGTATTCCTTTGCATGGAATCATAAAATCAGCATAAGGAAATGTCTTGAAATAAGTTTGTAGACTCTCCCTTTTAATTAACCGAAATTAATTTTTTTTTTCTATGAGTATGTACATGTATATACATATAATTATTTTTAATTCAACATTATATCTCAACTGAGTATATGACGTGTAGAGGACAGCCATATTAACATGCTTTTCTTAATACACCAAATTTAAATAATAGAACAAATTTAAACAGGGCATTGTTGTTATATGAAAAAATATGACCACATACATTATGTTGCCTTAAAAAAATATTTTTCTTTGTAAAAACATGAACAATGCAATGTGGCATGTTGTTTCTTTTTTAATGGGATAAGAGACATGAAATCAAATAAATTTACTATTCATTTTTTTTTTTTTTTTACAAAGTTCTCAATTTAAGTTGCAAGGAAATAAACTTAAGTATTCATGAATGTACCTAGTCAATTTTGTAAGCAATTTTTTTTAGTAACAGGATCATAACATATGTTCAGAAATCTCCCATAGGCGTCTGAAGCAAATTGAAAGTGGGGGGGGGGGGGAGGGGAGGGGGGGGCGACACCAACAAAAGAATTGAGGCTAAGCCCCAATTTTCAATGAATATATAATGTCTATCTTTGCAAATAAATGGGGGGTCGTAAGTACCCCTAGCATCCCTTCCCGGTTCCGACGCCTATGTCTCCAGCAAAGTTCATGCTAAGAAAATAGTTTGAATGACCTAGTACGTAATTTGCTAAATGAATGTTTCCCGCTAAACTCCAAGCAAATTATGACTCGTGTGCAAAATGAATCGATATATCATAAATAAAGATAGCGTCATCGTAAGTAGTCCTAGATGAAGACAATGTTTATGGCTAAATGATGTGTCACGTACTTTTTCAAAAAAATCATCATAACGGTGAAATTCAACATCCTTCCAAACTGAAAACGATAACATTTGAAATTTCCTTATAAACGATAATAAGTGCTTTCCGCTTTCTTAATTCGATTTGACTTGAATAATTTTGTGGCTTTCCGAAATACTAATGAACGATTAAACTTCGTCTGATGAGTAAAGCGTACATCCAAATGAAATTCTTACGCAAGTAAAGAATAATGTAAATGTATTCACCATATAACTGAATAAACGTCTGCATCTCAAGGTTAATGCATTAAAATAATGTTTGTTAGTACATAACATATTTGAAGCTGTCAGTGCAGTAAACCTAGTTGTGCATTGCGTAATGTGTGCACAGATGGTTAAATTTGCTGGATGCCTCATATGGAATCAACCGGGATTGGCCAATGCCAATCCCATTAAGGAAACATCCAATAAGATATAGATTTTGGTACAATATGCAATACAGCACGTATACTTAGTGTAACTGCAATTTTCATATTTTTTTAAACATGAAAAGAAGCATATGTGGGGAAAAAAGAAAAAAAAAACCTACAAAATTTAATAGTTTCTTTCCAAACTCACTAGCTCTTTTCAAAATATTTTTAAAATTAAAACACAGTGTGTCGTACATGTATGAAAACTATTCCCAACCTTGTGAGAATACAGTTGACAAACTAGTCAAAGCAGAAGATAAGTGGAACGGTGCTCGATTTTGTCGAACCGCGTCAAAGTGAAGGTAGTGACAGTTCCCAAATAAGAAGTGAAAGTAACAGGTTTTGCAGATAGTTGGTCCCGTGTCATGGAATCCGTTGTCATGCATAAGAAGCATCATTTAAGGATACATAACACAAACAAAAATTTGATGCCTGGATTGGTATATATATTTTTTTGACTTATTTTTAATAGAAATTACATAAATAATAAATCCCTAAAATATAAAGAAATCGTAAGTTTTCTTTGGTGCTTAGATATGCACATATTTTTAACATTGCGACAAAATCTTACGAAGTTCTCCCACTTTACCTGGTTAACATCATTCAGGTTACTTATCTGAAAATAAATCTATGAGAAATATTGCTGATTTCTGAAAAAAATGTTTGTTTGTGTTATTCATCCTTAATGACCCTGATTGCCGAGTAAAGCTTTTAATCTAAAGCCCTTCATTGGTTTTCGATTATATCCGATCTAAATAAAACTTTCTCGCAACGAACGTAAACAAAAAGAACGTTAACCAGTTAATAAATCCAGTTGAGAATTTGATGATTTTTTTTTTTAATCGGTTTTTCTTTTTTTTTTTTCTTTCAGAACTTGGTTTTGGACTTGCGTGTTTCAGTTAATGGCGAACCTTTGTATTACACAATAACGTATTCCTTACAAAAGTGAGCATATCGTCCTTATACTGTTGTTCAGAAACAAAAATGGCATTGTTTATAATTATTTATTACATTTTCAACAGTGAAATACTGTGATTTATTTTTTGAATAAAAGTGATATTCTTTCACATTGTGAAAGGATGCCAAAATGATATTCTCTCACGGTGTGAAAGGACAAGTAAGTACAAAATAATTTCTGGCCTGTCATAAGATAGAGATAGTAACTAAGCATCTTGATAGAGCTAAAACTGCAAATTTCTTTTCAAATATGATGCTAAAATCAATGCTATGTAATGTTCTCAATCACATAACTTCTAAGCTATGACGTCTCAACCGCTCAACTATGACGTCAAGCCTATGACATTGTGTTAAGAAAAGACAGAGGCAAGGGAAAATCAAAGAAAATGTAATAAACAGAAAATTCAATGTTTTGTAGATGAATATGGAATTTATTTCACTCGTGAGACAGGATTTTTATTTATATTTTCACTCGTGCTTTGCACTCGTGAAAATATTTTTAAAAAATCCTGTCCCACTCGTGAAATAAATTCCATATTCATCTACAAAACATTGAATATCCTCTATGTACAATATTAGCTATAGTAATCCAGTCTAACAAAATAACAAATTTGCTTCGTCATGCACATTTCCTAAAAGTAAAAATATAGGACATTTGCTTCCATTTGCATTAATAAAAGCTATAGGGGAAATATAGTCATCTTTCCTATTTTCTACATTAACAATTTTAATGTAAATGCGTCTTGAAACAAAGCATGGTAAATACCAAAATTTGGTATATAACTGGGCACGTAAAACATTACAGAATTAAAGATTATTGATTTTATTATTTCTTTTGTATGTATCATAATATCTTATGACATTTGTCTCAATAAATGAAAGGTTTTATTGTACCCGAAAGTTTGTAGCTGTGTTCTTGATTCTTTAGCATTCTTTGAGGTGTAAACAAAAACTATTTTTGTGTCTGTTTTATACTTTACTCGCCTTCATAATTCAGAAGAAGCACTGAAGCAGACGATGAAAGCTTTGAAGAAAGGGAAAGGAACAGTGTAGGAGAGGAAAGACAGACAAAGAGTGCAGAGGTATAAGCAAACCTTTTCATCTCTCTCTCTCTCTCTCTCTCTCTCTCTCTCTCTCTCTCTCTCTCTCTCTATTATTGATAAAAATGTATTTTTATCAAACTACATATTGTCTTTTTATTTTCCTCAAAAAGGCGTCTGATTATTATCACATACTAAGAGACATCGAAGGAAAAAAAGATTCTAAAAGAAGCAATGGATATTTGTCTACTGAAATCGGAGGCTAAAGTAAGGCACAAATGAGTCAGAAGTAAGTCATTAATATTTTATATAAAAATATTCAAAAGAAAGCTCATGGGTTTACTAATCGATTAAACTATTCGAGGATTTGATTGATTTTTTTTTTAAACTTTTCAAACTATTTTTCCATAATTCCTGTTGAATATTTTTGTTGTTATAGGACACTTGAAGGATGGAGAAACTAAAACAACACTCTTTTATTTCAATTATGAATGAAATAAAAATTTTTGCATTTTGATTACTGTTTATTTGATCTCTTATGTACAGAAAAAATATGCAATTGCAATTTGAAGCAAGGTGCATGAAAAATAAATTGCATTTTATCAATATATGTACCACTTCCTAATAATATTTACAAAGTAGAGGGCTATGAATATTTATCTTATATTTTGATAATTACATCCTTATAAAAGCCAACTAACAATTAAATTGAATGACAAATAAGATGACGTCAGCATTTTCATCGTCTTTCATTATTAACATGTACATATAGTAATATCCTCCTATCACCTATACATGGTGTTTACGTCTCCCAACTTATTTGAGAGCATCCCTGAGTACGAACAATTTTTATACTGTAGCAGGACACTGACAAATAAGTTGATGTTACAGGGATGTCAACAACTTCGTTTAATGTCAGCATCTTGTAAGTTCAAGGGTCGTTTTAGTGATCTAGTTAGCAAAAGAAAAAGGCTTTCATTGGGTCGTATTTTGACTGACGTTGTTCAATGTTTTATGTCCTGTTCACAGATTTGCATTGTTTGTACGTCTTACTAAGATCGATTATGTTCGAATTATGTTCGAATTCCTCACCTTTTTTATTAACTTAATTGTCTTTTCCATAATTTGTAATGCAAAGGATTTACCTGTGCAACATGAAAGGTATTTAAAAATTGCATTTTCTTGAAAGTCAGTTTGTGTAGGCTCTTCCTTAGCAGGTTTAAGAGAGTTGATGAAATTGCTTTTGAAAGAAACGTAATATTTCATTCCAAAAATGATCCAGGCAATTACTTTCGCGTTAGCACATGTGTGAAGTAAAGCCTTACTTGGTATGCATTTGTCAGAAAACATAAACAAGACTATTGATTGAAGGAAATGATGTCCCAAACACCTAATTAACCAGTGATAATATTCTTTATATCCATTAAAGAGTAATCCAGTCTTTAGCCTTCAGAAATATTTACCGTCTTCTATGGATCAACTTCAATCCCTTGATTGATTCGATAAACTTGATATAGTCCAAATAGTTAGTAAATAGGTGTTTCATTATACCGAAGCCGACTTTACTTCTGTTACCTCACAAACCAGATACATCACAATACAACAACCCATATATATAGTTTTGAGATGAAAAACGACACAAATGAATGCTTCGGGTGAATAGTTTGTTGACTATACCATGTGCAAATATCACATAACTATTCCATGGTAGGGGATGTTTAAAAAAAATAGAATATTTATTTGTCATACTTTTATGTAGAAAAAAATCACAGAGGTACATGTATAATATATATATATATATATATATATATATATATATATATATATATATATATATATATATATATATATATATATATATATATATATATATATAAATAATAATCATACCTTACCATTTTTTTCAAGGATCATCTCAGGCGTCGACTTAATAAGTCATATGTTGAAAATACTTTTCTTGCACTAGGCATGGTGTTGGCTTGAAAATAAGAAGCAATAAACCCTTACCAAAATTTAATTACACGACATTCTGAATTCTTAGGTAATCCTAACATTGGTCCAAGTGAGTCATATATTGAAAATGATCATATCGAGGAGAATCTTTTTCTTCACTCCTTTAAACAAATGAGGCAAAGTGTGTGTTTGATCATAATAAATGTAGAACTCTCTACAAAAATTATGTTAAAAAAAAAAGAAGAAAGAAGCGGAAAGGGTTCTATGATGTTACAAGAAGTGGTTGGAAAAAGAAAGAATAATGCTTACTTTTAAGCTTAGTGGATTTCTGAGCTTTATCTGACTATCGGGTTATATTCTCCAACAATTCCTCCGAGACTGGAATTATTTCTTAAATAAAGGCCAACTAACCGCTAAATTGTATGAGAAACAAGATGGTTCAGCTTTTTCATCGTCAAGTTTCCTTATTTATGTATATGCCCTTATTTATGCACATGTAGTTTTATACCCCTATCATCTGTTTATGGTGTATACGTATCTCCCAACGTATTAGAGAGCATGCTCTGAGTACGTTATCAAGAACACATTCAATGAATAAAAAAATAGTGATTATGCTCTCTTTAGCAATTCCGTTATCATTAAGTCCATGATCTACAACCCATGTTCTAGGACCTTAGTTGGTCATTATTTAAAATATGCTCCTCTTGTGGACATCCAAAGGTTAACTGTTTGCGTGACTGCAGTGAATACCTAACCGTTTAAAAAATGTAAAAGTCATGGCTTCTTGTGTCAGGGTTTATATAGAAGGGTCGTTCAATAAAAATATATTAAACATGAATATTTCCCATACGGAAAAAGAAACCAAGAAAATTACATGTTTATAACAGCCCTTTAGCTATATTTTAAAACTTCTTGGTCGCTTGATCCAGGATCAAGTCCAGTTAATGGGCTTTAATCTTTATGTATGTAATAGATAATACTTCTAACACACCACCATAAAAATTAATTTTTACCTTTTTAAAAGTTGCGTAAGACATATCTTATCTATAAATTTGTAACCATCATTACAAGTAAGAAGTTCAAATGCCCAAACTTTAAAAAAAAAAAAAAGATAATTGAAGAGTAAGCATTTCAAAGAAACACATGAAAATTGTGCTATTGCGTTGTAAAGGAATAAATTTTCATTTCCTTCTTTGAAAGTGTGTTCTTTGTTTATATTCATTAAATACTGAGAAAATCCTTACAAAAAATTCAATTATAGTTTACTATAACTTTGATACTTTCATTTACCATGAAATTTTAATCTAATACTTTTTTTGAGATTTCAAAGCAAACAATCTCTTGAGTTTGATAACAATAATGTAAAATTTGGAAATGATATGCGAATATACAAGTAATAGTTCCTCTTGATATATATTTGACTGATTGATTGTATGTTGTTTAAGGTATTAGGGGTGTAATGGTCATGACCTTGAATATGACTAAATTCAGTGTAGTTATAATGGACAACACTTCAGGCAATATTTCCCAAAGTTTCAAGCAATTCTGTCCAAACATAATTTTTCTATACTTATTTTCATGCCTGTACCCTCTAACCACTGGTGCACCTTTAATAAACAAAAGGTACAGATGTAATTTTTACCTCTACTCTAGTTAGTCGCAAACAGTTGAATGTTTTATGTATTCAGCTGCAACACTAAGCAGTACAGATTGCATATATGCATTCTTTTTAGTTCAAATTCATCAGGTATGATATATGAATACTTGTAATCGAGAGAACTTGTCTACTTTGAGTGACAATTTTGGCGATTTTTTTCATAAAATCTTTCGTAATATTCTGTCAAAGAAAAATATGGTAGGAAAGATCAATAAAAGAACAATATCAATTATGTGTAAGGTGTGTTCGTGATAATATAACAACAACAACAAAATTATTCCATCCACAATATTTATCTATATTCTGTATCATAGCGATGTACCCCTAAAAATTTAAGCCGTTATTTTTTGTAAATGTCATGGGATATGTGATAATTAATGAAATAATGAGCATATATAAACAACAGGTTATTGTCATATTGAATACACTTCACTTTAGTCAGATTCATTTGTTCAGAAGATTGAACTCGTCACAGTGACCTTGACCCAGACAAAGATTTGCAAAATGACCTACATTTTTGCAGCTTCCATGTGCATGAAGTTCTTTACAGATCAAAACATTATTATACAATGTAGACTAAAATATATACTGACAGAAACACTAATCAAAGGGTAAAAAAAGACTAATTTGTTCCCCACATGTATATAAAAAATATCAATAAAAAATATTCACCCCCCCCCCTTCTAAACAGTAAACTCATGTAAAAAATAAATTAATTAATTAATGTAAATAAAATAACAAAAATTACCCTAACCCAAAACAGAATAAATCATTTATTCCCATATCTTATATTAATTTTTTTTTCCTTTAAAGTTGTAAAACCGGTATTTACATTCTATTTTTTACTGATATATTTTGAACATCTCACATATTTTACGTATGGACATTGAACGTCACTTATAAATTGCAGATTCTACAATGCACGCAAAGCTATCTATTACGTACATTTTTACCCCTCAAACGGTTTGCTGATATTGAGAGAATCACAAGAAATCGCGATGATAATGTAAAGTTTTGAAGAAAGGTATACTTCGTTCGTTCTTCGAAAATGGTGATATTTTTAGAAGTTGGAAAAACTCATGAATTGTGTATTTGAAGGTATCATAGTTTTGACTGCATATTTTGTCTAACAAAATATATTAACGTGTTTTCTACGTAATATCATATTTATTCTCTCCTCCGCTAAGTTATATTCCTTTTCTTTGGTGTATGTTTTATGTTAGCGTCCTAGGCCGTCTTGACGACACTCCATTTTTGTTTAAGAAGTACAGTGTTCCGAAAACTGCCAATGCCAGACACCTCGGTAAATGCCGTCATTTTTACCGGAAATGGCGTATTACACCTCTAATACCTTAACGTTCCACTCGAGAATTTTACACTCATATAGAGATGTCACAATATACCGGTGAAGGGCTTCAAATTTTGACCTTTACTCGGCGCTCAGGGCCATTGAGCAGTGGGAGATCTTTATCATGCCAACGCTTGCCGTGACACGGGGCTTTGGTTTTTAAGGTCTCATTCGAAGGACCCGCTACTTTGACTTCAGAGTGCCGAGCGCATGGCGAAGGAACAGTTGCTACCCATTTTTTTATCGACAGTGGCGGCCGAGATTTTAACCCACGACCTCCCGATCACGGAGCGAGCGCTCTACCGACTGAGCTACCGTGAACGGTCCCTTTAATATAAAAAAAATGTGTGAATATATGATTTCGAGAACATAAAATATAATAATCTGAAATCTATAGTAAAAAAAAAACTTTGATTAACTTTAGTTAACACTTTCAACTATTATAGTAAAAACTTTGATACTATAATAATTAACTATAGTTAACTATAGTAAACTACAGATAACTATAGTATATTTTTTTGTTAGGGAACACATAACTGGGTATGCAGCTTTTGACCAT